CTTTGGACGTGGCTCTCTCCCAAGCAGCCTCCTTCACTGCTAGTGGGAGCGAGGGTTTGTTGTCGACGGTTTTTTTCGTTTTTTCTCCACTGTCGTTCCACTTCGCATCTCTATACTCAGTTTCAATCGCCATAATACCCCTTATTGAGCCCGACTTTTGCCTTTAAGTGCCGCAAATGGCTCACCTCTCCACTTGCAAACTCGGCAGTACAATTCACGAAATATAGTAATGAATCTAATCGTGATTTGTGCTTTGATTCTCAGTCAATCCATACGCGCTGGAGTCATCCTCAGCGATGAGCAGTGGAGATGCATACGAATGAAAATGGAAAACGGGAGAGACGTTCAGTTCTCCTCCTAGGTCAGGTCCCCGAGCTGCGCGATCATTGAAGCTTAAGGTTAAGCTTGGGTTTAGACTTAGGTTAAGGCTTATGCTTACACATTGGCTTATGCTTAAGCCTATGATTGGGCCTAGGCTTAGTCCTAAGCTTGCTTCGAGCAAATGAGTGGTGTCTCAATTTTAGGTGACCTGACCTGAGGAGGAGAACTAAAACGCACCCCAAAACGGGAGCTTTCGTCAAGCCAAACTGGACTTTCAAGCCTATGCCATCACTCCACTCGAGGGGGCATCGTGGCCTATCATACAAAAGCAAACATAACGCCACAGCACCCTGCGAATGCCATCACAGGAAAGAAAACAGATTTTGGCGCTATCGCAATATACGGGGGCATACGTAGTGATGGCAAAGCATTTCTCCAAGTGAGCCGTTCTCATTTTCCCTGGAGCTCCTGCCTCCTTCTAGGCTTAGCCCTAGAGGATGCCCCCGTATACTGCGATAGCGCTCAGATTTCTTCATACTCTCACTGTAAGATTAGAACTTCTCTCGCTTATGCACAATGGATGACTTTTCAGAAGAAGATTGTAATGGCCCGCACCAAAAATGGTATCCAAAATTGAAAGGTTTTATCTACTGCAATAGCCAAGAGACGAACTGGTTTATTCCGAAACCTCCACCAGGATGTGGATGTGAAAAGGGTTATTTAATGGATCACAAGAACAAATGTGTGCAACCTGGAGAAAATTGCCAGATGAACAAGCCTTCGTGAAATAAAAGTTTTTAGCGTCTTTTACGAAGAAACGCTGTGAAACAAGTAGATTCAGTTGTGTTGTAAAGGATAACGGATAAGGCTTTTGGCGTTGATCGATCCCGTTTTGAGATGCGCCACGCACTCTATTGTACTTCCATTCAAGAACGTAGTGGCGATTTGAATTAATTGGCCTTCAACGACCTGCGTGCGCAGCGATGTACCATTCGGGGGATTTTTAGAATTGATTGGCCTAGACGACATACAGGTTTATAGGGTCGCATCTCCGGGACTGGACGGTGGATGTGCCAGCGCCGCACGACACTACTTGCATCTAGAACTTCTCCGAAGTTATCCCTCATTAAAGTGCATGTTAACAGTATGTTTTACTGAGTAGCCCTGACCTCTTGAAAAAAGAGGTTCTCCCCAGTCTCGCTTGCGCGTTATTTCCAGTAATATACAGTAGCGGTCAAAAGTGTTCGCCGAAACGATTTTAGTGCATTATTTTTTCTCGCTTGAGCAACGCCCTCCAAAGATTGATATACTATGTTTTGTTTTTATATCCTCAAGCCTTAAAGAATCAGGATATTCAAAAGAAAAAAATTTCGAGGCCACCATTGATTTTTTCTGGCAAAAAAAAGAGAAGCACGAAAAACCGTTTCGGCGAACACTTTTGACCGCTACTGTATATAAACAGGAAGGTGATTCTATATTATCTCAAGCTAATAGTCTGCCTGCTGTAAAGCTTCTTAGCGTGCTTCCAAATTTGAATCATTGTATTAATATCATGCGCTCTATTTGTATGGAAAATCATATTGATTGTACGCACATAAAGCCAATACTGGATCTTGAGATTGGCGCGTAATTGGATGATGAAGTGTCCAGAAAAAAATATAGTTTCCTCTCTGAGGAATTGGAACATGAGTAGAAGATATAGAGGAATTAAATGTTGAAATCGTTGCAAAGTGCCAATATCGATGTAAGTGGGTATATTTACGAACATATGCTTTATGCGACTTTCAATATAAAATGTGGGTGGAGCTATACAATTGATGGGCGGAGCTTCCACTCGCAGCAGCGCATAATTTGTGCTACCGCAAAAAAACTACGAGTAAACTTTTAGATCTGAAATGAGAACCCATAGTCACGAAAGGTTTCGAAAACCATTGCCAACCTGAATTTGAACGACCGGCGTTCCTCCTTGGGCATCTTCGGCCACATAGGCAGTATAATGCCGAGTCGGGAAAAACACAGGAGCCTCATCGTTGGTGTTTTCTTGTACGAATGTGTACCTGAAAGGAGCAAGTATAAGTATGAAATGGCTGCTCTGGCTATTTCCTACAAAATACGTCATGTCCTTGTTTTCCAGGCGCACACGTTACGATTACATAAGAGACTTATGAGAGAAGCATACCGTTGCGTTCGAACTAAGTGGCGGTGTTCCGAAGTCTGTAGCTGTGACATTGAAACGATAGATGAAGAAGCGCTCTTTGAATTGATCTGCGTCCAGTCGGTTCAAATACGCGAGCCGATAAGGCATACATTCCATACAAAAAATTGACCAGTTCAGAGCCACGTTTTGACTCGGTTTAAGGTTGAGTTATTGTGAACGAATAGAAAGCAAAGTGGGAAGGTGAAACAAATAGGTTCAAACGAAGCTATTGGGCTGAACCATAATTTCTGGCCGAATTTCGACACTTTCATTTCATTGAGTTTTTTCTTTCCTGGAGAATAACTGATCAACAATATAACCACCGTCGCAATCGCTGATATGCATTCATTTGCTAGGCAGCGAATGGATGCATTCCTCTCAAAACGAGTGGAGCTATGGGATGAAGAGTTCGGAGAGGTCGTTTTTTGGGTGGTTGTATTTCATGACCCCTTTCTCTCGAAGGTACTGCTTCAGGGCATCGAGAAGGGGATAGTGCGATGAAGTAATGTTAGGGCTATACGATAGATGTGGTATCGCGATCGAGCCAGTTTCCCTCAGAAGGTGGCGAGTTATCTTCGCAATGTAAGGTCGGGCGTTCATCCGGAGGAAGGAGATTTTGAGACGTTTCGAATGGTTCTCTCGCACTGCTGCGGCCAACCTCGGGAGTTTTCCATGGTTATCTTCGCAGTGGTTGTCTATATAAGATGAAGCGGTTCTCAAAGTGGGATACCCGACCAATCCTACAAATGGGGGTAATATTCTCTGACGAAAGAGGTCGGGTTTTGGGTGAGATGGTGGGTTCAGGCTGCGAGATAGCCATAAGGCGTGCCGCGTGTTGTTGTCGTAGTGGACTCATGACTCATCTCCACTGGTGACCGACTAGGGAAAGTCCAGGCTATGCCTGCGCAGAATGAAATTTCTGCAGATGGTCAGGTCTGCTTCTCGTCATGGTCAGAGATGCATGCCGTTCCCATCGAAACTTCATTCTGCTACAGCCCGTTTCATTCAGACAGCTTGCGGTGGTGCATCGGCTGTGCCCAGGTATTCTGCTACAAATCTCAGGTGGTAGCGTCCGGTCGTGAACTTCCGATTCACAGCGCAATGGATCCTCATCGAAAGTGACTGGGGGCTCAGGATGAGGTCAAACTTTGCAGCTTGTATCGCCTTTGCCGATGCTTTCAAGCCAATAGCCCAGTGCCCGATCAGTAGCAAAGACTGAGGCAAACACAGCGCTGGTCTTGCCTACTGCACTCCTTGCAAGGTTCTTCTTTAAATGATCGTTAAGCATAATCGCCTGCTTTGGTCGTTGATCCATTTCGATCCCTACTTACTTATTCCACTGCCCTTTGACCTTCTGGAACATCCTAGTTTAAGGTACTGATGCCTCCTTCAACATACTAACTTATTTCGTAATGACACTAATTTGACATGAAGAAAATTGATTCTGAAAAAATTCGGCCCAGGAATATGGATCAAGAATTATACGAATTATACGAATATAATGATCAACCCAATACTAGCAGACGAGCGCGCAAAAACTTGCACTTGAACCGTATGGGCGGAGATTGCGAGTTTCCTATTGGCTAGCCTCCCCCCTACGAAAATGTCTGGTCGATGCGAGAAGCGCAGATTTGTGGAAAAAAGGAAGCCGAAGTGCATGGAGAAGGAAACTCATGGAGTTAGGAATGTCATGAATTCGGATTCGGGAGAGCTGGCAAGGTGGTAAGCCACACATAAATGTAATACTCATTCTCAAAATAAAAGTCACCGTACCTTAGCAGAGATCTCTCCTAGATCGTTGACCGTAAAGTTGCCGTTGTCGACCGAATATTTCACTCTAGCGTTGTCGCCAGAATCCTTGTCTTCAGTTCGAACTAAACAGAAAGGACACTCCTCTTTTTCTCAAAAAGAAAAAAAAAAACCATGGAGAGATCTCATTTCCACGATTTACTGGCTATTCGGCAATTACATCCATGATCTTCCCTGACGTTTCCGCAGAACACAAATAAAAAAGCAATAGTTCGCGCATATTGTAGGAAATTCGTTAGAAGGAAACTGGGCCTACGAATAGGTGGAACTGGCAAGTCATACATGAATTTTCGGAAGTGTTCTGAGTTGCTTTCGCAAAAACAGAAGTATCGGGAAGGGGAGGTATCCAGGTCTTTATCCCTCGACCTAATTCTAAGGTTAGAAATTATTAATTTTTTCATCGCGCTGGACTGAAATTCATAAAAGAATTAGTGAGGCAGCGTGAGGTACAGTCGATATCTCGAAGTCTGATTGGGCGTGTCACCGGAAATGACGTGGCAGCCACCGCACTTGATAGATGTTGTGTGGATAAAATACTCCGCCAGATATCAGCAAAGCGTGTTGGAAGCAGCTTATCCGCGCAACTTCTATCAAGTGCGGTGGCTGCCACGTCATTTCCGGTGACACGCCCAATCAGACTTCGAGATATCGACTGTACCTAGACCATCATGCAACTTCAAAATGCTAGTGACCGTATGAGTAGTATCATGAACTTATTTTGCGTTTGTGGTTGCCTTTGTTTTTTTCCTTCCGTTTTCCACGTAGTTATATCAATAATCTTGCCGCAATACTTTTTTTGTATATTTACTCATGACAGTATGGATCTTGGGCATGCATTTACGTGTCTGCTTTTTTCAAAGGTTTGCGTTTGTGGCTGCGCGTGTTAATGGCATCGAATGAAATAAAATGAGAACTTTTTGGGACTTTCAACCCTGGGCGCCCTTCGCAGCATCATTTCAAAACGGAAGTACTTTGCGAAGCTGGCGTGAGGAGGAACCAAGATATTGTGTGAGAGCTGCCACCTAAATTACTCACGCGCAAGAAACACCGTTCAGTGACGCACCAAATCAAAATCGGCCTTTGCTGAAGCTTTTCAAGGGCTGCTACTCACAATACGGAATATTTACAACGGATTGAGAGTTTCGGAGTGACGTACCTGTAAGGATTGGCTTTCCGATGTCAAAGTCCTCTCGGACCTGAGTAGTATAGAGCGGTCGGCTGAACACTGGAGCATTGTCATTAACATCGGCGATCTGCACACGTCCACCGCGTTACACTCGATTCTTTGTCATCTTCGTTGGCAACGACTTAAAAATTGATTTTCTTGAAACTTGTGGGCTGATTAGTCACATCTGATTCACTGACGAGTAGTCGGCTCGTCATAGACAAATTTTATGATCATTAATGAAGAGAGGTTCTTCTCATAAACGTTTAAGAAATTTGCGCAACGACACTAGGATAGCCCTGCTACCTTTTACCAACCCAAAATCGTGAAACTGCGAAGGCAGTAAAACTACACCAGTGCTCGTAGTGCGAGTACTACCTTACAGTACCTCTCACACCTTTGAAATTGAGATCCAATCTCTAGTTTAATGTTATCTCCCCTTCAAAGTCCCGAAGATTCAAAGAATTGAGAAGAAGACGACCAGAAAGGAAACGAGCTGGCATAGGCGCGGACTACGTCATTTCAATCAGCGCTGATACTCACGGCGCTGTATTCACCTGTATCACCTGTATCACCTGTCGTCCCGTTGATCATCGAATTGCTCGAGCGGGCGCCAGCAACGTCTCCATTCGTCCCTGTCGCGTGCAAGAGTTGTCCAGTGGACCCCTCGCTCGAGGGACACGAGTCCTTCATTCCTTTCGTTCAGAGCTTTCGTGAAGAAGTCTGACCATCGGGCCGGCGGTCGTCCAGGTGTTCGTTTGACGTCCCGAGGGATCCAGTCGGTAACCGCTCTGGTCCAACGGTCATCGCAAAATCGCATGACGTGTCCGGCCCACCTTATCTTCGATTCCTTGGCGAAAACGGCAGCGTCCCTGATCTTCGATCGTTGGCGTAGTTCGGTCCCCTTGCGTGTATAGGGTTACTCCTAGCATCGTCCTCTCGACAGCGCGTTGGATAACGCTGACCGCATGCTCGTCCTGCCTGCGCAGAGTCCAAGTCTCTGAGGCGTAGGTTAGGGCAGGAAGGACAGCGGAATCGAAGAGGTGGGCACGGAGCCGGATGTTCTTCGTCTTCTTCACTACTCCCTCGATGTTCTTGTACGCTCCCCAAGCCGCTCGTTTCCTCCTGCTCAGCTCTGGAGCTAGATCGTTCATCATATTGATTTCCCGACCTAGGTACACGTAGCTGGAGCATTCGGTGATGTTCGTTCCGTTGAGCGTGAATGGGGCATCAGGAACCAATCCGTTTCTCATAAACATCGTCTTCGTTAGGTTCAGCTGTAGACCCCTTACCACAGGCGCAGTCGAAATCAGCCAGCATTCGCTCCGCTTGCTCGATGTTCGGCGTTATAAGAACTATGTATAGCATAATTATACGAAATCATTTCCACAAAAAAATGCTGTACCATGGATCCGATCTATCACTTCACTATCAGTGGATTGGAGACTATAGTTCAGTTGCGCGCAGTATTTGCCTGGTTTTCAGAACGGAACGAAACACGTCTTAGCTACCTTTCAGAGAATTTATCGGCCTAGCAGTTGACACTGTTTGTATGCGTAGACTACTCGTTTCGAGCGCAGCTCTTACCCAGTGAGTCGTCACTTTTACGAAAGGGAATCAGTGGTTTCGAATGCCGATTTCATGTGAGTGAAAAATGGTCAAGAATTATGTTAAATCGTGCTCTACTCTGTTCCCTTGAGTTTCAGCCCAATTTGTTTTTGACGCGAAACACTGATTCGCTTTCGATACACTCATAGGTTGTTTTTGCATGTAAGCAAGTGCGTGGCGCATCCCAATAACGTTGCAACATAGAGGACTCATTTGTTTTCGTGTAAACTAGTACTCTGCTGCCCTAGTACCGCTTGAGCAACGCCTACTTTTTTGATTCTTGGTTTCCTGAATCCTTTCTCTCCTATGCCACCTCCCACCTCCCATCTGCCCTCCTGCAGATTCATAAGAGATCGCTAACCATTGGGGAGTTCCTGAATCACATGCTGTCCGCTTATCAACGTGCAATGCTTGAATGACACACGACAGTGTCATCTACTCTGGCCATGATGGATGTGGTCCCCAGACGCCCCGCCACCGACCCCGCTTCACCTCCGGTCTATAATCAAATAGAGGAAATCCCATGTTAAGAAGGCGCTGCTCTCCTTAAGCTTTTTCGGGTCATAAGGATTGCAGGGTGCGGGATCCTCGTCGGCTGGTCTTTGAGGTCACGTAACCCGGACAGCTGTTACAAAACCGTGCATATAAATCAGCGTGGATCATCCACATGACTAATAAGTCGTTGAGGATTTGCCAGAGCGGTAACGATATTACTATGGATGGACACGGATAATCCGATGCCTAATGAAGTCCGTCGCGCGGATAAGTGTCCAAAGCTCGTTACGTAGGTGGTTCCTGATGGCCTCATGCTCATCTCCTGAGATATTTCCCCTCGCGATCCAGATAAGGTCATCGCGGCGTTTAATTAAAGCGAAGGAAATTGGGTGAGGATGACGCTTTCACGAATTGATTAAGATGGCATGAAGAAATACGTACCGATGAGTTTGTGTAGTTTTGGCTGAGATGGATCGTCGTAATCCAATAAGCGTCTCAGATGGATGACACCAGTTTTTGGATCGATGCCAAACACAGACGTCGCTTCTCGTTGACCACCATGCTGACTCCAAACCGAGTAGGTGAGCTCTCCTTTTGAGCGCCGATCGTCTATGGCTCGAAAGCGATGAGCTCGCACGTCTACCACACTGAAAATCAGAGAGTACTATAAAATGGTAGCACGTCATTTTTTTGCTATTCCTTATTTTATGCGCTAAAACTCAAAACTAGCTCAACTTATAACTTAACCTAAAGCTTAGAGGCAGGTGAGAGGTTGTAGAAAAATAGCAATAAGAAGAGCCAAGGGAGCAATTGGAAGGTGGTCATCTTTAGCGAAAATCAGCAAAGAAGATTTTGATATTTCGATAGATATTTTGCGGGATCAAGACCTTTTCCTTGGTTTTTCCCTCGCTGCAGCATCATTTAGCACCTCTAATTTCATCTCCAACGAGGATCTAACTAAGGCACATACTGCCTTGAAAGACAGTCAAAAATGATTCATGGAAGGCAACCCATTTCAAATTAACTCAGGGATGGTGATTGGTACACGAAAGAAGGAAGAACCATGAGAAACGGCCCAGAACCCGAGAAATGGGACCCCTTCCTTCCCCGCTGATTTGCGCATTGATGCGACTCTTATCGCTGTGCCCTCCTCAACATCACGCTCTCTCTGCTATCTAATCAATCCCACGTATAGATCTGCGGCGAGTGATCAGCTGGTCGGTGGGCGGAGATCGCCAGACCCGCCAACTTTGAGGCATAATAGGTCGCCGAGGTCAAATTTTTCGATGCGAATTGCGCATCAGTTCGCACCCTCAGGAGGTCCGTGGGTTACTCAACTAGGTGAATTACTTCTTCCTCGACCTCCATTCTAATCGTAAAATCCTCCTTTAAAGAAGTGGGCAACAGTCCCCAAATAGTAAAAGAGGATGTAATTACAAAACATTATTCAAAACTCTATCCCGTCGATATAGCTTGCAGTCCGCAAAAAAAATATGACAAGAAAATGCGAAAAAATAAAACGAATCAAGTGTCCTAAAGATACAACAATGTTGATGTGTACATTATATTTTTCACAAAACTGGGTGTAACAAACGATACAACGAGTTGGAATAAAATGATGTCCCGGTAACGTAACTGGTAGCGCACTTGCCCAATAAACAGAAAGTGCGGGTTCGAGTCCCTTTTGTAGCAGAAGTTTTGTTCACTAATCCCAGCATTCTTGTTAGCACTCACCCAAGGCCTAACTGGCGCTAAAAACTGCAGTCACAATCCAATCAATTCTGATTTCGTCCCACCCCGCATTTTTGCGAATAAAAGCAATCAGTAAAATTGTTCATTAACTACTCCTGCGCTGTGATGCACGCATCCGGCGAACTGGGGGGCTACGCAATCCCACATGAAAGTCGCGCCATAATCGTACAATGGAATGCACAAGGTACACAATTTGAAGTTACGGAACATACTGCCTAAAGCTTCAAAGTTTTTTTAATATCTGCTGATCAAACAGTTTCTCTGACCGAGGCTACCATTTCAGACAATGCTGAGCTATGGCGAAACAAATGCCTCATGGGCATCGAACTTTCCAGAAAACAAAATAGCACACGTCCTCCCACCTCGAAACATAATCTATCGCTGAAGCCAACAATTCCTACCTAAATCAACTTGACGACGTCCTCGGGTAAGGAAACCGTATAGTGCTGCTGAAGAAACTGCGGTGGACGATCGCCGGCAAGGATTTCCAATTTTGCCACTTCAGATACCTGAGGGAAAATTACTTGCAAATTACGTCTACATTCACAGCAACATTGGAGGAGACATTTAGACAAACCTGCTGCGTAGCGTTGTCCGACGGGGTCTTATCAACTGCTTGAACAAGTACTCGATAGGTTGTCCTTCTTTGTACTGCCGTACAGCAGTGCGAACCACCCCTGTGCTTGTGTCCACCGTAAACATCCCAGACGCTTAAACACAAAGGTATTGAGAGATGGAATCAAATAAGCTCAAGAAGCCAATAACTAGCGTCATAGTCCTTGGAGGATCAAGAGGATTGAACGAGTTGAAAACCCATTCCTAGCATTCGCCACGCATTCTACTCCTATTTTCTACTCCTTAGTCGCATTTTGAATGTGAATTGATCTATACAACGTCTGCGAAGGCCGCGATGTTCATTTCTCGAAGAGAGTTTGATACTCGAACCGAACCCCAAAATAGAAGGGCTTCAATGATTAGACAAGCGGGCACGATACAAATTTTATTGCCGGACCTTCGCGCATGGAGCGGCACACTCACCACTTCAACCCACCTAACTACAACAACCAGGAAATAGCTAAACGAATAAGCAGAATGAAAAAAGAGAAAAGCCAAAAATGCTCGATGCCGGAACTTGTTGATTATAATTTGAAACTTGAGTATCACAATTAAAAATTTACACTATTCATGCGAATGAGATCGTATCAAAGTTTTTTCGTACATTTAAACCTTTCGCAAACTTCAAGTCGAAAGTAAATTCCTCTATTTTTGTTACGAAGGATCTAAAAAAAGATTAAAGCTGTGCTATGTGAGAATAAGATATAGTGATATCACATCAGATTATTATGAAGAAATCGACCAACCGAAACAAGAACGAGTATTTGAAGCCTATCCCCTTCAAAAAAAAATGGCAAGCGACAATCTTCCGACAATATACAACTAAAAAAGGAACATAAGTCCATAACACACGAAATATCTATTTTAGAATCTAAGAACTCCAGGGAACTTACGTTCGGTATTAATCAGCCGGTACTCAACGTCATCGTCACCGTCTCCTCCTTCATCACGAGCAACAAACTGAAAATCAACATCGTGACTTCATTAATGTCATGGTGAAAATCTTGCTTTGTAGCACGTTTCGCACAGAGATTTATTACGTTTTCGTAGCCAAACTCCACAAACAACCACAATCCGAGCCATATGGTAGTTGCTTCAACGTTGCGGGACTCGTCTTTTGTAATTTTCAACTTTTTGTATGCTTTCTGACAGTGGTAGCGAATCAAAGCTGTAAGGACAATCCATTTACTACTGTTATTTTACTTTTTTTCGCCGTGCTTATCTCCTCTCGACAAGGTCCGCTAGCAACCATGAACAAACCAGATAAGTTGCCCTCTGTGCGATCAGTCATCTGAACCTGCCTAAGTTCCAGCATTCATGCGCTTTGGCAAATCCTGACAAGAGCAGGACTTCCAACCGACAGTTGAGCCGAGTCCACCTTGAACTGACGTCGATCAAAGGACTTCAATTGAGCCGAGTCCACTTGAAGCTACGTGACAAAAGGTTCAAAGCACGGCATCACAAATGAGAAAAATTCCGAGCTTTTCTTGAGTTCACTTGCTCCTACTGGTTAATCTTGAAGTTTTCGAATGAATTCATGTTTGCACATGTTAGTGACTCATTCTTGTTTATTAATCTTGAATAGGTAAATAAAAACTAAAGTAGTGACTAATTTGAACGGAGTTTTCACTACTTTTTTCGGTAAAAGACAGTAACTTGTGAGCCCAGCTACGCTGAAGGGTGCTATCGCAAGATCCGGGGCAGCTTCTTAGCCTAAGCCCAAGCGCCATATCAATCCCTCTCCCCAGGCTAGGGGAATAGAAAATCCCCCTAAACTTGTTTGTATTCAACGACATACTTTCTTTCTTCCGGTACATGTCTACTTGTATACACATACAAATACAAATAGACCCTTCCTGAGGGCAATCCCGGCTGAGAAAACAGAGAAAATTAAGGTTTCGCGCGTTGCCACCACCGTGTCCCCGTATCTTGCGATAGCGCTCATTTAAGATAATATCTAGATGACTTTTTATGCACATTTTCAATTGCTACTGGACTTAGTGACTAGTATACCTATTCAAATGTTTACCACTCACACTTTCAAATGAGTTGGTTTCGAATGTTACTGCAATCTACTGCAATCCACAGAAAAGAAACGGAAGAGGGTATAAAAATTAATGCAAGTGTAAAAGTAAAAATAGAAGCCCTGAAAAAAAGTTTTTCAATTTTCAAAAAAAAATCAACTTACTTTGTAAACATGAAATCCAACGGGAGTCTCCAGCGGTACAACGGTAAGGAAAGGTACCGGTCCATTGACAAACGCTGGTGGTTCATCGACGTCCTCAACTTCGATACGTAGGCTTTGAATACGAGCTAAAATATGAATAGATCGATGTAATCAAAAGCATTTAGTGGCAAATCGCAGCGCAGTGGCAGACGACGCTTTGCTACAGTACGCGTACATAGCAGGTACGAATCTATGCTACGCCGAAGGCTAACATATGACTTCAGGTACGACATAGAAATTGTTTCGAAAAAGAAATCGGTTTAAGAAGGATTTCGTAGACTGCTGGCCAAACAATGACTTTTCGAAATCCTTCTCTGAATCCGCTCCAGTAAGTTTGACCCTTGTTTGACCCCTAACAGGACCGTTTTATGGGTCCACAGCGTCGTTCGTTCATCACCCGTAATTACCGTTCTCTTGGTGAACCGCTGTATAACAATGGGAACCCGTGTCGGAACGAGCGTCTTTTAGACAGACAATTAAGCAATTATCAAGAAACACCTGCGCGACTTAATTGGCTTATGAAATTAGCCGCATAAGGAGACGACGCAACGCGTTAGTCCGCCTAGTTTTCAGATATGTTCGAATTGACTTTCCTCTACATTCACGTTGCCTCCAACGGTCAACTGCATGCAGTTGGCGATTTAGCAACCATTACGGTATTGAAAGTATTGAGCATTTATGACAAAAACCGTGACATCGAATTGTTCAAGGACGTCACTTTGACTTCTATTAGTTCTGCAATTACGACATATCCAACCAGGGAAACGAAGATCATTTAAACAAAGCCAATAAAATAATGAGAAACAGGAATGACTGTAAACATTGGTCAAAATGCTCAGTAAATCGCGAGTAGGCTAAGGTGATAGCAAATCAGGTATCAATTTGGAACCTAATCTATGCACGGTGGCCGTATAGTGTAGCTTGCAGTGAGCATACTTTTCTCATGTTATACATTAAAGGAATCTTGCGCGGAAAAATCATGATTCTATTTCAGCCATAAATCACTGGCTTGAGACTCATTATCCACGATAATAGTGAAAAGAACTGAAGTATTGCTTTCGTTTTGATTAGAAATTCGAAAACTCGAAAAGGCTGCTACGCGTTCGAATTGCCCACGGACGTCTTTCACGAATGCTGGCGACGGGGATGCTCAAACTTGGTTCTTGGAGTGCATTCACTAGAAGCTCTTTCTGGCCTTCTGCTTCGTTGCATTCACATCTTACACTTCTACTCCATCCTATTCCATCGATCGATTTGTCTCCACTCTCCGAAATCGCGCGCTTTAACCCGATTCTCTCATTGCGTCGCCTGGTACGTAGCCGGCCAAACGCCGTCTTCTTTCCATGCCTCGCCTGGCTCTGCCTCCTGGTCCTTCGATGGTCCATAACGTGTAGTTTTTGTACGTTTGTTTCTCTTCAGAAACCGAATCGTGAAACTCGTGAAACTTCGTATAATGTATGCGTGAAAACGTCGGGGGCTATTTCCAGCTGCTCGCAACTGACCATATTCATGTTAGCGAAAAGTCCAAGAAGTTTCGCGCAAGATTCTTAAGTGATTTCTTTCGAGGTTGGTGGGTTTACACCTTGGCCCGTAGAGCGTCTTCTTGCTAGGTATATCTGACCCGTAAGACGAGTCTTGGGCACGAATTTCTCCCCTTTTCCCACTCAGGGATCACGGCAGCTGCATTCAGCTAGCTGTGATTCAAGCAACAGTAGTGGATATGAAATTTGCCTCATCAGAGCTTGAGAACGAGGAGGCATCGGTAGGAAACCTAGAAATAAGTTCCAGCTAAGAATGCTGCTTGGATGGGGAGCGGCACATTCAGCACTACTCACCTTTTACTGTCCCACCCCCGATATTCATGTTCTACGGGTCAAAGTACCTTTGAAGACAAGTTTCCAGCGAATTTGGTGATCCGAGATGTTCTGGCGCCTTTTGGGCGGTGCTTCTGGCGCGAGCGCCAGGCGTTCTAGCCGCGTAAATGTGATATTCGTGTTCTACGGGTCGAATTACCCCTGAGGCAAGTTTCTAGCCGAATCCACAGTCATGGACAAATTTCGATAAAAACCCGGCTCAGTTCTCGAGTGGCAGTAAAGGGTAAATAGTGCCCGGCTAGCATCCTCAAGGTCATAAGAGCCATGGGTTCTATTTGTGAGCTACGGACTCTCCTAAAGCCGATGCAAAGAAGACATTCTACAAGCTTCAGACCCTCTTCAAAGGCTTACCTAATTTCTGCTTATCGAGTGAAATTGAGGACACTCATTAAAAAATATGTATAATTTTTACTCATCAGAACGCGTCATACAGTCATTCAAGCTCCTGCCTATATCCTCCCGGTATAAAGTCGCGCGAATACAAGTAGGAACACATTGCTCATAGGGCTAGCTATAAGATCAATTTTATGCATCATCAGTCGGTAATTCCCCTCCCCACAACCTTTACAAGACATTTCTTTCTCTCGAAATACATTGCCCACATCTAAGATTAGGCCAGTGCGCCTACTTGAATGATTCTTCTGCCTTCACTTTTCTTTTGTTCCCAGTTTTCTATTCACAATGTTTTCGTGCTTTATACGCGATTAAATCATAACTCAGCGCGTTATCCCCAGACTTTAGTTTCCCAGCGAACGCTCTCTCAGGCCCTGGCGTCGCGCTTGCGCAATCCGAATCGAGTGTTTCTGATTGATTTGACGTAGGGAAATCTCATAATGACCCCGTATGGAACCATTGAAAGCCATGCTCGCATTGACCACACCGCAGTGCTCTTATTGACTCCTAAGCTCTTGCAGCGAGCTCATTTAATGAGAGGGTCCGATGAAATTAAGCGAGAAATTGCCTGAAAGGGTCTGGAAAGGGTTCAGAAGATTAGTGCAAACAGCCAAATTTGCAAAAGGACGTTTCCAATTCACACCTCCCTTTTCACACCACCGCCCCCGATCTACACCACCACCAGTCTCGCATAGTACGAATCTCGATTCGACAATGCTCTGCCACACGGCAGAATTCCTATGAACGTATAAAGTTGTCTGAAACATACTTTGACGCAAACATGTACAACCGTATGCCGGTCTACTCCGGGAAATTAACCCTCCCCTCCCCCTGTACAGAATCTGCCGCCCATAACAGTTTGTAGAAAGTCTTAAATTGATGAAATTTTTAGGGTGCAGAGAACAAAAGAGCCTAGACGGTGTAGTAGCGAGTAGCGCTACCTAGCAAAAGCATTTGGGGTCCGATCACAGATCATGTTCCGCTCAAACCAACGGCGCTTTTTGTTTCTCCACACTCTGACTAATGTTGCCAGAATTAGGATAAACACTGGCTTGATTCACCGGCAGGAAGGCCAGTTAGCATTCGATTGTCTGCACGCTTGCTGAGTGTAAGTTGACAGTGCATGGCGCACTCCAAAATGGATTTAATCAAACTCAAATGCAATCCCTTTGAGGAAGCATATAATAAACCCAGTGCCGTCCCCATCTCTTGTTTTCGCGGTGTATCTTTGGATAACACACACACATCTGGCCGCTTTAACGCTATCCATATGCTCGATTAGCAGCCGAGAGCTCGAACGCGACCCTATATAATGCCGCAGCGCCTTCGCAAACCAATTAAACTCTTGTAATGACCGTATCCCGCTGATTTGGCAATGAACTCTGCCATTGTTCGATAGCCAGCGAGCTACTGGTGCTGTGGGTGGCGCACATGTGGAACTAGGGCAGAATTTCCATCACAATGCGCAGAAAAACTGCCAGATGTCCAAGTTTTTTTCCGCAGAGGAGGTAATGAGACAATGATGGCGGACGAAAAGAATTGGGAAATCTTCGTAGTTCTACAGTAACCCACCCACTTTGCCTAACCACAATGCCCCTAACAGAAGAAATGTGGCCTGGGCAATGGATCGAGTGAGCGTCACGTGTCCCTTTCTCCATGGACTTACGAAATGAGAGCTGCGATTTCTTGGCTGAACCTCACTAGAATTCATGCCTTCCTTGGGAGCCTGTTCATTCTGAGAAGATGGAGCTCGATAGAGAATCAAGCCATGAAATGTACCATTAGTTGGCCTCCATAACCCAACTGAAAGCGTCATAGGGCCCAGGGCAGGCGCTTATTCTCCTACGCTCTGCTGAGATACTAGCGACAATAAAGAAAGAAATCTATAAGAACTATTGTCGAATTTGTAGACGCCCAAATAGGCAGCTGTCGAAAATCGGAGGCGTTTCTGGGTACCTTGACACGTTCACGGACGCCGAATTTTTAGCGACAGCGATCAACAAAGCTGCGGAAGCCGAAAATCGGAAATCGAAACTGGGAATAAAATATTTGTTTTTGGTAGGTATTGCTTTTCAAGGTCCGGAGCAAGGTGCTTTTAAGGCAAGAGGTCCGTAAACTACACATAGCAGTTGTCGAGGTGTATGCCAAACCATTTCGGAAAATTCTTCGGCTTCTTTGAGAAAAAGGTTTTGAAAATTCATGAGTTTGCTCCAATTCATAGGAACAGTTGTCCGGTGCCCTCAAAGATACCTCGAGTTGCCCAAGCGAGGCAATAATGGCCATTGTCAATAAATCCCCCAAAGCAGTTCACCCCGCTTCGAAGTGGTGACACATTCAGTAGTCGTAAATATCAAGTCGCGGAGAGGGTAATGGTCCCCAGAGAGTCTCCGTCATCGCTGACCCATCGACACTCATTATAGTGACTTGGATGGCCAAACGGCGAGCCCCCACCGCGGCTGATTACCACATGCTGTCTTCGAGTGAGTTCTAAGCCGTCCATTATCTATAAACAAATAAGACTCATTCATTCGATTCGATCACGTGGACGTAGAGCGTGGAATGAGGGGATTACGGAACCCGTGAAGTAGAGGCATTCCCTTCACCGAGAAAGAAAATGAGCCCTGGTTCCCTCGGGTAATGAGCTCCGGGCACGATATGCCAACAAATGTCATGGTGGCTGCCGTCGCACGAAGACGACGGTCATCCTACGATGAGTAATGATTAGTCGAAAAGGGCAATAGACTTGCAACATTCTTCGGTCGACGGGAATTTTTCTTGGCATCGATCCAATAAACAATTCCTCACCAAGTTTTTATAGTCGCCTTAAACCTCTGGTTTGTTCGAGAAAATTCGAAAGTGATCCGAAGAACAGAACTGCATCAAGACAAAACTGTATAGCACGTCTGTATGTTTGTGCTTCAGGAGCGTAAAAAACGGGCCAATCGATAATACACATTACTGAACAGGTGAATCATCAATCTAAGAGAAAGCACTTTTTTTGATGAATAAATGCCATCCTTAATGTCAGCCAGATGAAAAATGATGGTCAGTTAGGAAAGGGCATCCGAGCAATCTAAAGAGGATTACTCATCGGGAATCCTTCTTTCTTAGGGCAATTCATCCAGACTAAGACGATTTCCCTTTCTTCAAAAAATACTGCACTAAGTCGTACCAGGGCTCAAAAAGCCATTTTTCAAAAGAAAAAAATGAAAGCCAGTGACCTATTGAAGAGTGGGACTACCTGAAACCCAAAAATAGAACCGTCCACAAACAGACGTATTCCACGGGAAAACCTTAGACCGTTTAGGACAGTTTTGAGAGCGTGTGATGAGCGTAGTGAGATATGCACAGCATTCATGAACCCTGAGCAGCTATCTGTGAACCAAAAACGACACATCTTTGCGAGGGCCAGCCAGCTGACCCCTCAATTAAGAAATATAGTTGTTTCCTGTCTTTCCTTAATCAAAGGCCACAGTGTCCTAGCCCACGAAAAACACCCAATTGGCGATTTTTTTGACGCAAGCTGGGAAGTAATAGAGTTCTTCCAACGAACAGAAAAAGCTTAATGTAAGAGCTTCCCCGAAACTAATTGCTCCAAGCTGATTCCGATGGTAATCAACAGGAGTCCTCCTTCAACTCCTCACTTGAAAGAGTATCCCTGAATAGTACTACCAAGCAGATACCTACATTTATAAATGTTTACATGTAATATTTGTTACAGTTCTCAGAATAAACCCGATTGGACTTAGCCTTGGAGGGGTGGCTCAAAACTGCCACCTTAACGAGAGTGTTATGCCCTCCCGCGAATGCCAAATATCGGACCCTTTCGATTTTTTTTCGAACAGAACTGATATACCGGGCGGTGGACCCAAGACTCAGTAACACGTTGCCATCAGGTAGCAGCAAACACATCAAAAAGTTCACCATGCAGAGATTTTCAGGATAACTTTAGAACCAGAAACATTGTCGCGGTCTGTATCACGAAAAGTTTCCGGTGGAAAACTTCATAGAAGACACTACGCTCAAAAGTGTCGCCGAAACGTTTTCGGGCTCTGTTTTTCTATACCAACATGGTCTCAAGTATTGATAGGACATTCCTCTTAAAGGTCTTAGACCATGACTATCAAAGAGGTTTAGGTCAAAGTTTCTCTCCAAAGAAAGGTTTCAAACTAATCTTCAGATCTTCCTTTGTAGAGAAGAAATAAGATGCACGAAAAAGCGTTTTGGCGAACACTTTTGACCGCTACTGTTGATAAGCGTAGACTACAGCTGGACACTACGAGCTGCACCTCTCTTGAATGTTTCCTACCATCCTCTTTCAGCATTTAGACTACAACTTTTTTGGAACTAAATTATTGATGGGTTTGTGAAGTAACTATTGCTCCTGGCAGAGCTGATCACCGTGTAGAAATTTGGTCAGCGCTGGATTCGGCCTGTGATTGATCCGAGGACACTACACACGGCAGCGGCCTCTCTTGTCAGGGCACCATCTTCGTTCAATTGAATATTTTAAAATATGCGCTGGCATACAATATATCACAAATACACACCTCACGATTGAGGAGTGTACGGACCCAAAAATCAGTTTTTTAGGCGCACAAACTGAACACTGTTCTGCAGTAGAACTCGCCTCATTAACTTGTAAAGGGTATGATTTTTCAATTTATGGCGAGTTTTGTCTGTGTAAGAATTATAAAGTTTCTAGTTGTGCGCAATACCGCAATCAACCGGATACTCCTGTCTCATAAGTCCCTAAACATTGCTGGCATGACTTACGCAATGTGTTTCACATGTGTACCAACAGCAGTCAACGGGTTAAGAGAGGGTGTCTAAAAAAAAGAGCTCTCGCAGATGCATATTACTATCTGTTTCAGGCAGCCTCTCTTTTGACCCTCATCTGCAGCAAGGAAAACCTATTCAGGCCTCAGAATAGTGCACGTTCTCGTTGATGTAGTGTGTTAAGATGCCTTCTTACAACTGCCGGTCCCTTCATTCATACATTTGTCGTTAAACACCCTGTTGTGAACTGTTCACGCATCTAGCAGGCCAACCATCGGCACCTGATCTCGCATAGTGAACGAAAAACCGACAGTATAATTAGTTTCTTGATCCTTGAATGCTGAAATGGATCATCAATGTAGAACCACTTTTTCTTTCTCTTCGCACCCTCCACTTCTTCGGGAACCGGAGATTCTCATCACTTTCCCATCGCTCTTGCTCCCGCTGTTACCTTCTTCCCCAGATGAGTCCATTAACGGCTGTTCCCTGTGGCGCGTCGTCTTGTCCTCAGCCGTCACAATCGGTGTCCATGGCGACCTTTGTTGATTCAAGGTAATTCCATTCATATGTCCAGTGACATAGACTGATATCCGGTGACACACAAGCACGCTTCAGCATATTGAACGCCAGCTGACGAACGGAGAAGTGGGGCTTCCCTGGAAAGCTCTCAAATGACCCACATCATCCATGAGACTGCAGGGCCCTTATAGGAGATCTCAAGGAGCGAACGATTGGGTAAGAGGAGAACCACGCGGGGACGATAATCCGTCAATCGCTGCAGGTCAAGTGTATCACATCCGGAGGTGAACTGCCACTGCACACCCAAAACAAACAATAACTGTCTAATGTGGTAGGTTTTAAGGGAGAGGTAAGCCTGGATAAGTGGTCATGGCGTATGGTTACTCAGCCAGTTAATCAATAATCGATTGGGTTACCTGTATTGATAATCCGAGATTTTAAGCGGGTTCTATTCTATCGCCAGCATCTGGTTTGCTGACGAAAGAACAACTTCTGAGCTTCAAACCACCTGCCTCTAATGAAGTAGTAGATTATCACTTCACCCGGGGCCACTTGTATTACCTTCGAATAGCGAGGTACCCCACAAGTCGCAGCAGAGGACAAGGTCCCCGAATCACGTGAATCTCCGGCAATAAATCCGTCCGTCGCGATCCGTGCCTCCACTCGTCTTTCTCTTCAATCCAACGCCAAATTGTCAACCCTTTCGCTAATGAAACAGCGCTGCCGGCCGGCTATAGGCGATTTCTGAATGCTCTCTGCCAGAGAGCAGTAGTGAAAGGAAAAACGAGTGAAATTGCTGCAAAAGAATGAAGGCTTTCCACGGCTACGCGGCGAGACCATAAAGCCGTAGAAAAAACGCGGACGAAATGAGGTTGACCTTATGGCTATGCAATGGGGATAACCTCCACGAAACAACAAACTGTAGCACCACGATACACTTTCTGTGGATATATCCCGCGGATTGCCAGGGGAGGGGGAGGGTGGAGATATACAGGGGGGGGGGCAAAAAAAAAAGACATTTTGCCTATGTCGGACTTCGGCTCTTTTTTCTTCGCAGAGATTGCTGTCGTTGACGGGAGTTCCTCAGCAGAGTATTCCCTAAGTGTCCCTCTATAAGTGTACGCAGGCCCTCCTTCACTGCCCTCACCGTCTTCAGAATATGACGTCATCTGTCACCGTCGTCAGGCTCAAGGAGGTCTACCGTAAGAGCTTCAGCCTGAAGCTCTTACGCAATTTCGTGAATCGATTTAATGTTGGATAGTTTTCTAGAGGCATTAGCTACCACTGTGCAAATCCCCTCGGAACTAGCTTTCCAGTAAGGGTCGTTATGGTACACGATCCTTCGAAGACCCCATTGAGATCGACCAGTGCACCATGTTTCCAGGGCTAATTCTTCTGATGCCGTCCACGTACGTGGCCACTATGAAGATTTTCTTATAGAATGGAATGCACTCTTTAATAATAAGTTGGAACCGTTCGGTCTGAGTTGAGTAAAATGTGCTTAAATCCATCTGGAAGTGGAGGCAAAATGTTTTTTTTTGGCCCCCCCCCCTGTATATTGAAAAAATAAAAATTTATATAAATGCAAAAAACGGTAAAATATGAAAGGTTTCCCATGCATGGAATAAAGACTGATGCCTGTCCATTATCAAAACATGACGTCGCGAAAGTTTTTGACAGAACGCCCCTTCCCACCAGCATCTCTCTTTCCGGAATCTTAAAAATTCGCTGAATGGATGAATCGGGGGGGGGTTCGCTGAATTCTTGACAATTCCCTAAATTTCTAGTAAAGGAATCACTGGGATGTTTGAAAGCTGACCTATAACGACCTGCTTTCACCCCCTAGCTCGGATTCCACGACGGACATGCATGGCCCTGGCCTTGATCAAGGTTCATCAAATCTTATTGTCGCTCCAAAAACCAATGTTTGTGAGACGGTCTTGAAGAGTTTCGCCTTTTTCTTCTTCAACACAGAAAATCAGTATCAGAGAAGAGGAAGCATAATAAACTACATTAATAAAAGAATTAATAAAAACAATCCAACCTAAAAGTACACATTTGTACCTTTCGAGGCACCTAGTCCTTGTCTAGACAGTTTTGGCCTCGTTCTGAGGGCCGTCTTCCTAGCCCTAGCCAGCCGAGTCGCATGTCTACAGTTTGAAATAAATGCAGGAAAAACATTGCTCCCAACGGAAATTCTGTACACCGCACGTAGGTGTACGCCCCAACGTATCCAAGAGACTAACTTATTATTCTTGGAAAGTTCTAGCCTTCACGGGTGCTTTTTGAGGCATTCCCAAAGCACACTTCCCATAGAACCCAAGTGTTTCTTCAAACTTAGCTCTTCTTGGGCCCTAGATAGTGTCTGAAGAACCCTAGCTGAATTTCGTCCTGGGTCACCGAATTCCACTCACTCTTATGCTGTAATGCTACCATTGCCATATAGGTTTTTTTCTCCTTGCTCTAATTCAATTCATTAATCCGACGGATTCCTCTGAAAAAAAAAATCGAAATAAGAAACAAGGCCTGAGTCGAGTTTCCCTTTATCCCTCGCCCCACCCTAGCCGCAGTTATGATCACCCGGCCAGTCCAGCATACTCGATTGCAATCCGGGAGCATATCCACTCAGTGTGGCGCAAATCAAATTCGCCGTCGAATCATAGTCGTCACGATCTGTCTCTTTGAGTACTAGTAAACCACCCAGTCATTCCCCATGGGGACCCTAATGGGCTCTGCTCCAATCACAGGTTTTGGTCCCCTAAACGGCTTAGCCGCGTATATTTTGAACAGCTGTCGTTTTTCAGATATCACTGATGCATCTAATCCCATTATACACATAAGAAGTATCTGCGCGTCCGCGGCGCCATGCGGTCCCTCATCCAGCGGTCGTTTGTACCAGTTGTCCTCCGTGTCACACATGCTATTTCCTGAGCGGTTACAGCTGATCTCCATATGGTGGCCACTTCGTCGGCAATCGAACAAAAACGATTGTCTTCGAGTTTTTCGCCGGGCAGAAAGTTCCTCGGGCAGCGCTCTTTGACACTCCGACATTCGTTTTAAGCCACCGCACTAAGGCATGCATACATAGATGAACATGGCTGATAGCGCGACGGAATCCATTCATTTCGGAAGAAACCCTTTTCGGATCCCCACGTCGAGCTTCCCGGTCGTGCCCGTCCGTAAAAGCGACCAGAGAACGATTTGATGACGATGAAGATGAAAGTATGATGAGAGAATAAAGTGATGAATTACGCTTTCATCTGCCGCCTGGGCTCGATCTGCTCGATTCAACGGACCTTTCAACGTCGGCGCTGATTAGCATATGTTCAGGCTATTCATGCACACACAACACATCGTACATTATCAATTATGGAGCCCCGTTCATAACCGCTGCACCAGGCTGAATGTACAGGACAATGGAGCCACTGGGGCAGTATTCCGGTGCCAGCTGGCAGAAATTTGACCATTCTAGACGCAAGAGGGATAGAAATGTGGCTGGGTAGTTGGCTAACTGGAAGTCTAGCGATGGCTGCACTCACAGATGGAGGTGGTGGCAGGTCAACTGGTAAATATCGCTGAAAGAATTGTGTTCGCCCCATTTCCCGAACCCACACGGAACCCTCATGAAAAAAGGACACAATTTTTTTACGGAGATCTTAGATATCGTGATACCATAAAAACCACGTAGGGCGCTATCGCAATATACGGGGCATTATGATGGCAATGCATTTAAAACCGCGTAAAACATGTCCTTTTTGTTAAAACGGGACTAAGCCTTAGGCGGGGAGGAGAGACTCCAAGGTGCGTGAGCCATTTTCATTTTCTCGGAGCTCCTGCTCCCTCTAGGCTTAGTCCTAGTGGATGTCCCCGTTTATTGCGATAGCGCCTCACGTAGTGATACAGAAAGCACTAGAATCTGTAGCAAAACAAATGAGTAAACAACATAGAGAAGCTCAAATGACGTCAATAAACAATGCAAACACCAGCAGTATTACAAACGCTTCTTGGTGCCATACATGGCATCTC